AGTCAGAAAGCAGAACAGATACAGTTTTAAAATACTAGCACCTTTGCATTCTATTAAATAATGCAGCATTCCTTCCAGAACACTGTAGAAGTTACAGTATAACATCGATTCTCATGTGGGTCACTGTACAGCTGTCACTAACTTCTAGAAAGTCCAAGTGCAATGCACACAAGTCCTCTAGAATATGTTTTAGGACACATTTTCACTGTAACTTGGAGTAGCAGAAATGGTCTAACAATTCAAATCTCAATTATTGTATTTCTACAAGTCTCTAATGTAACATGAAATGTGCATGTCACTAATCTGCTATATGTAAATTAGTAGAGAAATCCGTACAATTATAAAAGCTGGAGAAGAGACTTAAAAAGATCATTACGAATAATGATCGTTATTCGTTATTAAATAAATACTGGTAACACTTTAGGATCAGGTGCTTCAATGCATTTAGTTAATGCATTGACTAACAATGAGCAATCTGTTTTTTTACAGTATATTTAATAATCTTTGTTAACAAAAATACAACCGTTAGTTCAAGTTAATTCAGGTGCATTTAACTTTAACTAAGATTAAGGAAAAAGTCAAATTAAAAACAATGTCAGTGGTGCTGCTGCAATGTAAAAACACATTAATGAAAAACTTTGGTAAATGTCTCGCATCTGAAGCTTCACCATGGAAATACTCAAATTTAACTTCTGTGGCAACCATTTTCCATTTGATAGCAGATCTTTGGTCATTTGATCAAATCATGGTTAGTTAATTAATGTATGATGCTTTTATGGTGCTGCTTTGGATCTCAACAATGCAGTCAGCAACACAAAAACGCAGTAATGGTTTAAATTTATGCATTATTTCATTAAATAAAATGACAAAATATATTTTTTAAAATGTCAATCATCAGTGAAACTCAAGAACAAGCTGAGCAACTAAAAAAAAATGCACTAAAGATGTTTTCATTTCAACAACATCCTTGGAGAAATGCTGCATTATATGAAGAAAAAAAGTGTGCCAACAGTTTTTTTGCACTGTTCTATCAGATTCCGTGCTTTATTACCACGATAGACAGTGTTTTCATGTAATCTTCTTCAGTTGGTTGTATAAATACAAATATTTTATAAACACGTCTCATATGCAGGTCTCAGTTGTCTGTAATAAAAGCTGATTTTGCATAACTCTCCATAAAGCAACTTGTGGTCTAGACAGCAAACATATTTTTTCCTCAGTGGTGCAAAACCGATCCCCAGCAAAACCCAGGACAAACACTGAGCCAGAGCATCCAATGCAGCAGAGAAACACAATGAAAACAATGATGCAACCGCCTGCTAACACCAACAACACATCCATATCGCTCACAAACAGCATGTTTACATATAGTATGCTTTCCAACGACTGTCACATCAGCTGGAGGATTTGCTGTGTGTGTGTGTGAGAGAGAGAGTGTGTGTGTGTGTGTGTGTGTG